GGGGGGGGGGGGGGGGGAGTTATTTTTCAGAAAGCGTCTCCAAATAGAAAGCTCAGTTATTTCTGTATTAAAAAAAATATGATCTGTTGAACAAACTCTCAGTAAATGTTTATTGATGGTCAGTTATTCCATCCAAATTATTAGTGGTTCATGATTTTATATGTGAATATGTAAGAAAGGCCTATTCTGCTAATTTTATCTTCATTTTTATAAATCGTTGCACCTTAAAAAAAAAAAAAAGATGCCACTGATGTTCTTTGTTCAGGAGGAAAGAATATTTGACTGTCTTGTCTCCTTATGGTATGTTCAGAATAAATTCTGATTTATTTTGAGTTTATTGGTGCTTCATTAATCCAGCAAAAAAAAAAAAAAAGGAAAATACAAATCTCAAAATTTACTTGGGGATACATGGTGACAAAATATCTACTGGGTGATGGTTATTTCACATATTTGTGATAACGGGTATGTATGTTTTATATATGTGTATGTTTTATTGCCAACTAATAGCTACAGGATACATTATTTTATGGTTATGTTTTTTTCTGATACTTGCTAAGGTTGGTTGGGTGCCTACTGTGTGCCAGGCAGTGTGCTAACCTCCTCAGCGTGGTGTCCCATCTCCTCACACGTGGACCCCGGGCCGCAGTGTCGCTCAGCCTGGAGACTTAACAGCTGCGGGCCGACCGCCAGGTAGTGAGTCCTGGTGCTACCACTTGGTATTCCACTTTGGACAAGTTCTTTAATGTTTCTGTTTAAGTGTTCTCACCTGGACATTACAGATGATAGCTGTATTTACCTCCAAGGGTTGTTGGTGACTCACTAAGTTATCAAAGCGCTGGCTGTCGCACACGGAGTGTGGCAGGTGCTGAGCAAGTCTTTGTCTTCAACTTCTCTTGCTCCCAGTTTTACAGAGGAGGAAACGGAGACTCCGCGTGTTTGAATACAGTACCAAGTCACACTAATACTTCTAGGAGAAAAACATGTGCCCATTCTTTTCTGCTTAACAAAGATGTAACGCAGTATTTCCTACTACCTCAGTGCCTTTAAAAGTAGATGGTCATAACTGTAATCGTAGTCACTTAAAGATGTTTTGTTTAAAATCTAAAACAACAAAGAATTACAAAAGGAAAGATGCTCCATCTCTCATGAGAAAATGTCAGGGTCTCCAAACTGACTCCATGGTGGGCTTGAGGGCTGAGGGGGTGTCTGTCCCTCATGTTGGTAGCACGGAGTCCCCACATCGGCAAAGGGTGATGTGGAATGGCAGATTCAAAGGTCTTTCCTTGTGGTGGCACAGACCACAGTCGTACTTGAAATGATCCCGCTGAAGTTCACTTACCGTGGGAAGCCCCAAACCATCAATGGTCCGTAAGCACACTACGTCCCTGTTTGAGCCCTCCTTTATCAATAAAATAAGGAGACCACTTCTTTGCCTCACAGAGTTTAGTGAGAGTCAGAGGACATGATAGTTGTAAAAATGCATTTTTATATAGAGTTGAATATAAATGTGAGAGATTATCCTAATTCTTCCTGAATCACTTCAGCTCTCCTTCCTCTCTAGGACGTGTGAATAAGTAATTGTCTGTTATTGCCTGGTGCATTTTGGGATTCAAACACCCGCTTGTAAGCAGTATTTATTACTGAACGTGTTCACAGCCGTTCAGCGTCCTGTCCTTGCGTACTTGAGTTACTGTCTGCTTGGGTCCCAGGTCACTTTCTGAATGATTTCCGGACATCTCACCAGTTTTCGCTTGTCCGTGAGCACCTTCCGTCTTTTCTCTCCCGTGCCCCACCCTGTGGAAGGTCTCTGGAAAGATGGCAGAGGAGATGGGCTCTTCTCATCAACACCCCGTCCCAGTGTTTGTCACCGGCCAGAATGGGGCAGGCCGGGGACCACTCTGGGAGGTCATTTCTTGTCTGTATAATGGAAACAGGGATGAAGGAAGAGCCTAGTTTAGAAGGAGGAGCACGTTCGAGTTAAGTATCCATCGAAGAGAACCATACCTAAAGCAGAATCCGCGGAGTCACAGTGCGGCGGCCGTGAGGGGGCCACGGGAGCAAGTCCGTCTGTGAAACACCTGGGGGCTGGGGAGGGAGGGGGTTTGCTTTGGCTGATTTGGTTTTATTCCGAATGGCGCTAGCTGAAGTCCGACCTCCCAGCAGAAGTCCGGCGGAGTCGCTGGCAGCAGCGCCCTCGTCCCTTCTGCGGGCGTCCGGGCTTCCATGCCGCCCCGAGCGCGAAAGCACAGCCTGCACGGCGCCGCGCGGCGCCAGCCCTGCGAGCGGGGCAAGAAGGGGGGGACACAGAGGGAGGGGGTTTGCTTTGCAGCACCGAGGCGTTTGCAAAAGATAAAACCAGCAGGAATTTTGAGGGGAACTGGAAGGAAGTGATCCTCCGTTAGTCTGAGACAGCATGTCAAGAGGCCTGAGAAATACACAAAATAAAGATTTTCCCAGAAATAGAAAAAAAAAAGGGAGATGACCTAATGGTATTACTTTTTTTTTTTTTGGAAGATGAAAGAAATGTAGTGAGTGGGGGCGGGGAGATCTCAGCAGTTTCCCAGGCATGACTAGGCCTTGATTCTGTTTCTCTTATTAATTTCTCAATTAAAAAGGGGGATCGGGGAGACCCTGGCGAGGCCCTTGGAACAGGCCAGGGAGCGACAGGCATGAGGACACTGTGGGCTCTCCAAGTTGGACTGAACCGCAAGAAGGGGCCCATCGCCACTAAAATGTGTGTCACGCAAGAACGGCCTGCCCCTCAGAAATGCCATACTCCCACAACCACCCCAAGGGGCTTGTGTCCACACGCCTCCTGGAGTCCCCATTGTCACCAGTGGGTGATGGCGTTCAGTGATCAGCGCAGGACAGCGCAGGCTAGCCCAGGCCTGCCCCCAGGCTACGGCTCGCTCACGGAAAATCCCCTGGCATTTTCGGCCAGGAGGGCCCCGGCTTCTCCCGACTCACTGGCTTCCCCTGCTGTGCGTGGGTCTGCCCCAGGACGGTAGGACTCACGGCCACAGCAGCCCAGAGAAGAGGACAGAAGAGGGCAAAGGCCCGTAGACGAGGGGAAAGGGGCGGAGCGTTCTTCAGAGCTAATAAAAGACATCAGTGCACAGATCCAGACATCCCAAAGAGTCCAACGTCAGCCAAGTGAATTAAAACGTACCTGGATTTTGCTTTAATCGGGCATGTTAAGATGACAGACGCAGAGACCCCTGCCTTGAAAGAAGACATATGAGGTGCGGTTGCCTCGCAGGGTCAGACGGGCCCCGGGGACGGTCAGAAGCAGCAGAAGCAAGGGCGGGAGTCCTCATCACCGCAGTGACCAGAGGTCGTTTGCTGTGGTGTCCCCTATGCCGTAGAAAGCAAAAAAAGGCAGGTGCTGGGGTTTGCGGAGGTTTGTGATGTGATGTTCACACGCCCATGAAAACACAGAGATGGGGCGAACATGAGTGGCTTCAGCCATTAGTGTGGCTCATGGTTTCAAGAATCCAAATTATCAATTACGGAGCATCAGGAATGGTTATGGCCGAGGAGAGTATCTTGGAAGCAGCCGGAGAGCAAGGCAGCGCTGAAGTCCAGGTGACAGACGGACCCTCCGCGGCCCTCTCAACAGCAACGGGAAGGCAGAACACAGCGCCTTCGTGTGCCGTAGGCGTTGGAATGAAACAGGCACCTAAAACTGTACGTCCAACCACAAATGTGTAAGGACACACGCTAGGGTTTGGGGAATTTATCTGTGAGTGCGTGTGCTTGGTTGAAGGGAACACATATCTTTAACTTTACAAGAAAAATGCTGATTTATTTTCCAAGGTGGTGGCACCGAGTGACCGTTCGGACAGCGGCGAGCAGGAGCTCGGGTTCTTCCCATCCTCGGCAATGCTGGCTTTCTGATGTTTGCCAATCCGGCCGACCAGAAACAGTGTCTTGTAGTTTTGTTCGTATTCTCCGTGATGGGTTTCCTCTCCTAGGAAGTTATAGCTGAGTCTCTGGCCAGTGGGCTGTTTCTTATTGGTTTTTAGGCATTCTTCATTGAGTTAACCATGTATCTTGTTTTCTGTGTTCTGGGCCTCGCCGACTTGGAGGGACTGCCCCCGCCTGGGTCAGCCCACTCCTAGAGACGGCAAATGGCTCATCCAGGAGCACGCCTCTCAAATACAAACCAGCCTTGCAGAGCCTAAACCCCAACCACCTCCTTTATCGGGGCTCCCACACTCTGAGCTATGGTCCCCTGGTCTTATCACCCCAGGGCAAGGTGCCACACGACCAGGGACAGCCTCGGTGCCCCCGAGTCTGCTAAAATGCTTCAAACTAGCCAATCCTCAGCCTGCTCGCCTTGTCTCACTTGTGCTTTTCACAGAAACTGCAGGAAAGATTCTTGCCCACGTGCCCCACCCGCCCCCAGCTCCCTTTCCTCTTGACCAACCCTGGTGCTTCCCTGCAAGGCCCCCACGGCACGGTGGGCTCCTGCCTCCAGATCTGTTGACCTCGCCATACCTTAATAATAACAAAACCCGTATGAAAACATCCATCCTCTTCATACTGATTCTTTGTCGATTCTGCATGTTACCATATCTCCTCAGTCTGCAGATGGTCTTTTGATAAACATAAGTTCTAAACCCAAATGCGTCAAACGTGTCAACGACACCAAAGACCCTACCAAGGACAGAAAGGCAAGAGAAATTAAACACACAAAAGACTGGGAGTGAAGACACAATGCTGTCATTACTCCCTCCCATTAGAAAGGAGGGAAGATCACATGACAAGTCACAGATAGCTCTCAAGCTTCTCACGAGGTGCCATGCCCATGGCTGCTCACACACTATTGGCCAAAGCAAGTCACGTGTTTGTGGTTAACACGAGCTCAATGGCACCGTCACCCCCACAGGCGGGTTATACATCGAAGCACGTCTGTCGTAGCAGAGAGGAGTAAGACTCTCCTGCCCAGCTTTGAAGAAGTAAGCTGCCATGTTGTCAGAGGAGGGTCCTCATGGCTAGAACCTGAGCGTGGTCTCCAGGAGCCAAGAGCACGAGTGAGCTTTGAAGTGGATTCCTCCCCCAGAGCCTCCCAGTAAGACCTTAACCCTGGTCTCTTGTGAGATCCTGAGCAGAGCACTGTCGGGCCCACCTGGACCTCTGTCCTAATGAACTGTGAGCTAATCAATGGGTATCACTTTAAGCCGCCGTGTTAGTGGTTAGTGGTGATTTGTTATGCAGCGTAGGTAACGGATACAGATCTCGGTGGAGAGTTGCCATCCTACTGCGTGCCTAAAGTATTTAGACCCAAAATACTTGGTGGAGAACACTGACGACCCCCTACCTCACGCCTCACACGAAAATCAGCTCCAGGTGGTTGAACAATTCAACACGAAAGGCAAAACCATAAAACTTTCAGAGGACAATATAGACTGATGTGGACGGAGCCTCAGAATAGGTCCATCTTAACAATACACAAAAGTACCAACCGTAAAAGAAAAGACTGATCCATTTACTTTTAGGCAAGTAAAAATTAAGACGTTTGCCACTAACAGACTGCCAGTAAAGACAATCCCCAAAAATACATCTCAGGCCAAAGAAAAATAACCACAGAAGGAAAATGCAAGAAGAAAGAAAAACCATGAACAAAGGGCATAGGGAACATTTGGATAAGTATAAACAAACACTGACCGCGTAAAACAAGAAAAATCAGGTCTACGTTGGGGAGGTTAAAATTAGAAATAAAATATGTGACACAATTGCATATCAGTCAGAGGAGAGGTAACATATTCTAAAGCCTCCCATCTTTGGAAGGAGTATAAAATACAGATGAAAGCAGGCATGTAAAAATTTATGACGCCTGGTAAAAGTCTCTAGGGTCACCACTAAAAGAACAGAGATTGAGTATCTGAGGTCCAAAGTAGTAGAGGAGGAGAGAATCAAATGAGAAGAAAAATAAACAATCTAAAAGAAGCTATGAAAAGAGAAAATACAGGCCACCGGCAAGCTCTAAATAAAGGGCAGAGATAAAACCCGCTGGCCCCATGATTCTGCAGAATGGAAAACAGTGACCGCTCTGAACTTGACCTTGAGAAAGGACACCATGCTGACCTTCACACAGCTCTCATGGGCTGTCTCCTCCTCGACCTTCAGGTTTTGGCTTTAATTCCGCCTTCTGAGAGATGCCCCCCCACTGACCTCCGTTTCCAGGGCTGGTTTTCAAGCACCCCTTCTTCTTCAAGGCAGAGAGACTATATGCCCTCATTACTGGTAGATGCCATATTTGCAAATTCACCTGCTTGCTAAAACTTCTACCCCCAAAATCAATACCTGTGGCCCCTTTGTGATCACTTGCAGATGTAGAGCCCCAGAGCATCTGATGCACACATTCCCAACCGAGGTCAAACAAAGCTCAGCGCTTTGCAGACGGTCTTGCATTTATTCCTGGGGGGCAGGCAGGTCTGTTTGACAAGGGAAGGGAATCTGAACCCACCGCGGGGTTTCCAAATTCTCTCACTGGTTTCTGCTCTGCCAACTTGTCCAAAGACGGGTGCAAGGTTGCCTAAAGTTTTCTCCTAAATCCACCCTCACAAATGCCCGTTCTGCCCCTACATGACCTTGATGGAGCCTGACCCAGCTCCCCAGGTCCTTCAGCACCATTGACCTGAGGGCGCTGCGTCAGCTGAGCCGAGTCACTGCCCTTGGAGGAAGCGCCCTTCCTCACCTTCCAGCCCGTGGGCTTGGACACCCCCTAATCACAGTCCCCCATGTGCGGGCCACACCCCGCAGACCTTGAAGGCCAGTCCTGCCACCACATGCTGATCCCTCTCCCGGAATGCATGTGGGACTATGGGCTGATGCCGCCGGAAGGCCACAGGTGTGCCCAAAACCCTTGCTGAGACGAGAGTCCCCGTCGTTGTTGGGAAACCTGGCCGTCAGGGTGAGCACGGCTGCCAAGAGGAATTCTGCTTCCCCACTCCCTGACCCTCCCTGCCGGAGCCCCCACCTCATTTCCGTTTCTCACCCAGGAAATCTGAAGTTACACGTGGGTCCGGCTAAGCCTGGATGATGCGTCTAATGTTTCCAGGGAACCGGCCCGCCGACACGCTGCTCTGTGGCCGCAGGTGTGGGGCAACTGGAGTGCCCCGCCAAGCCACGTTACGTAAGGCCCAGAGGATGGTTGCCCCTCCATCAGGCACAATGGAAAGTCTATGAGACCCAGGGTGCTTCCGGCTCCTAAAATCTCCTTGGTTTTTTTTACTCTGAGCTTTGTTTCAGAAGCAGGAGGGACGCTAGG